AAGACAGCATAATGATTAAGAACTTGGCATATGGAGCTTGAGTTCAGAGGACTTCTGCTCATTACTAGCTGTTTGACACCAAAAAGCTAATTAATTATTTATGCTTCTGTTGTGTCTTTGGTAAAACGGAGAACCTAATACTGCTTAACTGTACGTATGTGTGTATAAAGTTCTTAGAAAATTGTCTGGCACAAAATGAGCCCTGGATAAATATTAACCTTGATTATTTTAGCTTGTTTTTTTCAAATAAATATTAACTTCTCTGTCTTTTCTAGTTGCTATTCTGGTTTCATGGGGTGAGGGGAGGGAATTAGAAAGATATTCTACATGTAATGCTGTAATTTTTAAAATCTTATCATGTTTCCTAACTAAAATACTTGAATATAACTGTTTTCCTTGTTTCAGAAAAAAATTTTCAATAGTTATTCATGTAGTGATTACATTTCAAATACCATCTATTTTCTTACTCCCCTTTAAAATGAATCATATAATATTAGTTGTCCTAGAAGATACAAGGTTGTAAAAGGAATCTATACTCCCTAAAATGTATGAGATAGGGATGTATGAAAATTAACTACTTATCAAGTCTACAATTCCTATAGATTCATAGAGCTACATAGCAAACTATACATTTATATAAGAAAAGATCAGGGAAGAGAAAAGAGAAACTTACCTTAAGTATTTTCACTAAATATATATAATCTCAATTTTATAAATAAAATGCAAATGACACATATGAAATTGTAATAGAATGACAGAGCAAATGTGTATGGTTTTGCCAACCTCTCTGCAAGTTGAAATTAACATACCTTTTAAAATAACTGATTCATCATGGCTCCATAGTTTACCTTTGTTGATAGATGGTGTCACATTACTTAAACTCCTACATGTGCAGAAATATCCTGTGACATTTCTTTAAATCAATTTTAGTGGTTACACAGTCATTTAGAAATGAAAACCAAGTAAGATGTAAATCAATGTAAGTTTTACAAAACAGAAATAATGGTAATGGATATAGAATAATATGTGTCTCATATATGACTTAGTACAGTTTTTCAATCCCTATAGTAATCTTTCTTTTTAAGCTTTAGTTTTAAATATTTCCTCTTTTTCTTTCAGATTCTGATTTAATGAACAATTTCTATAAATTGCCTAATGTGAAGAAACTAAACATTTCTACTGAGGCATAAAACCAAAACTTAGGATAATGTAGTCTAAAAAATTTAGATAATGTAAAGAATGACATCCCTTAATTAAGGAAGGTCATACTGTTTGGTTGAGTGTCAAGTTCAAGATGGATGCACATGGAGTGGTCAGATCCAACAGGCAAATAGTACCAGCCAGGTCGTTTGGAAAAGGATCAACTCCCAGGGCATAACAGATGTTGTACGTAGATGATTCTCCAAAGTAGTCTGTCCTTCCTGCCTATCCTGTTTTGTGAACTCCAAATTATTTTCAAATTTCAGCTATGGTTTTAATGTTTTTGTGAATCTTTGCTTGACTCACCCAGAAGTTAGGTACTCCATACTCCTTCACAGTTTTATAGAACCTTGACTGTGCCAGTATCATTCACAGAGGGGATTTAGAATGGACTTTGTGATCATTTTACAGTCCAACTTTCAGATCAGGTTTTTCATATATTTCAATATTATTTCAATATAATTCAATAAGCATTTGCTTATACTTATAATCCTGTATTGCAATTTGTAGAACCAGATAAGTTTAATCACCCTGGTGAACCACCAGAATACTGGGGTCATGTTTTATTCATTATGAATCAACATAAATTAGTGTAGTTTATAATACAAAATATCCATTCAATACCTACATTTGTTGACTTCTTTGAAACTTTCAATTTCAATGATTTTAAATATATGGGTCACAGTTTGCCGACAGAAATATATTTGTGCAAAGGAAAGACATCCCCCACAGGAGCTCCTTCACATCTCTGCAAGCTACCCTACCTGTGGTCCTGGTCTATTTTTGTTCACCATGTTACTCTCAGTGCCCTTTCAGAGTACCAACATTCATGAAACTTTTTCTATTATTATTCCTTTATAATAATAATAATTATGATTTCCACAGTATCTCTCTTCCCTTTTCTTTTGTCTAAAGTGTCTATTATGGAGCTAATTGATCTGAGAGAAAGATCGTTGTCTCCTACAAGCAAAGTAGTACATATTTCTAGTTATTTTGCTGGCACTTTAATGATTATACTTTAAAATATCTCTTTAAAGAAACTGTTGAAGTATTAAAGTTTTTAAAACACAATAACTGACTTTTAAAATATGCCTTAAACATGTATAATGAGGTGCCTTATTCCTCCTCTCCAAAAAACATCAAACTTAGGTTGTCATTTTTCAACACAGTGACCACCTGTTAGCACATGAAAACACATTTCTTTTCCCATCAGTGTCACCCTCTCACTCCTCCCTTCCATTATTATTAGACCTTTATGTAATTCCAGTTCTATAAAAGGGTTTAGGGCTTAATTTTGCAGTTTCAAAATCTGAATTCATTACTGTGTAGAGAGCTCTATTCTCAGGGAGTAACTTCACACTGACCAAGCACACGAGGTCTGATTACTTATACCATACTTAAAATGTATAAATTCATAATGAAAAATAATCATGTGGAGAACAATATCTATACCCAAAAGACCCACATGTTTCTTTCCCTATATTACATCTAAAATATGGAGTCAGAAATATGTAACAGTGTATAACATTCTAAGTCAGTACACCCTCCCTTGCCTCTTACTGAATGGGAGAATGCCATGCCCATAATAGCTTATCTGCCAACCTTAACCTACAAAAACAACATGTGATTGTTAACCAATCTCCTTACTCCATCTTGGATTCTTAGTTTGTTATAACTAAAAGCATCTCCTTGAGGGGATTTAGAATGGATTTCACTGATCATTTTACAGTCCAACTTTCAGATCAGGTTTTTAATATATTTCAATATTATTTTGAGGAGGAAAATACTTAATTTTTCCTTAATATCATATATATCACTTTAAATATTCACTATAAAATACATACCTTTTCAAAGCATCAGGAATTGTGGGAGGGGGCAATAGAAAAAAAGGAATAATAGTTATTTATTATCTATTTGTTCCATATGAGTTGAAAATATCTCATAAATATTCACAATAGCCATATGATAAACATTGATTATTTCCCTATGAGGCTCAAAAACATTATATAACTTCTCCAGATTGCACATAAGGCTAGGATGCAAGCATAGATCTAACTTTAAAGTATACTTTCCATTATATAGTGCATCACAGAAGCAAAGAACCCTGCCATGAGAGCAATTCATTATGGAGACTAGATGACAAAGAAAAAAACTTACTGACTCCACAAAAATTTATCTTATATGCATTTAATAATATGCACAATTGTTGCTGTTTTGCCCTATAATTAAGATATAAACACTGAACAGTTTAGTAAATAGCTGTACTTAATATTAAAAAGTCAAAGTATTTCTGAATCAGAACAAAGAAAAATCTGATAACAGGAAAGTGTTCTAAAGTCTTACTTAACAAACTGGAATCCCCTTAATCCTCTACTGATAATAAATAGATGGGGTTTTCAGCTACTTAGTTTGTAGTAATTTGCTACATAGCAATATAAAACTATTACAGCCCAATATAAAGCCTCCTTGTCTCCATCTTCCCTTTCTTCATGTGTCCTATTACATAAAATTGTCACATGTATAATTTATATACAAAGAACCACATTTATTAATGTGTATAATTTTGTGAATTTGGACATATGCAAACTTCCATGATGACATCACTACAATCAAGAGAATAGGCATGTCCAATACCTCCCAAAGTTTTCTTGTGTCCCTTTGTTTTTTATTTTTGCTCTGTTTGCTTCCATTTTTTGTGTTTTTTATTTTGTTCTGGATGTTACAACTTAAGTAGCTGGCCCTATATATGTGCTCTGCAAAATATCAGCTGTCCTGTTGATCTTCATTACTATTCTGCAGCACCTGGTCGCAGATGCCCAGCAGGAGCCTGGTACCCAGACAATAAGGATCTTTGGGGAGCACTAACAAGGCTGCCTCATAACACTGGCAAACCACCTCCATTGATGTTAGAGCTGCCACATGGCCTTCAAGAAGGTGGTGATTCATTTAGTTTAATTCTTATTTGCTGTTTTGCTGCTGTTCCTTAGACTAGAACTCAGAGATGAGCTAAGAAAGTAGAGCCAGAGCTCCATCTGACAGACCAAATCTTCTTTACCAACATTTTCACTGACTCTCACTGAATCTGAATGAAATAGTGGTATCTGGGATTCTCTCCACTATCAAATGAGTCTTTCCCAGAAGGCCACTCTTTATGTAAACATATACGTAGGATGGTGATTCCCCTGTAACTTCTTTCATGCCAAGACCCACTGATTTCTAGTGTGGTTATACTTTAGGGTTAAAATGCAAGCTAGCTTAATCAACAAGGATTACACAACAGAGCACATTAAGGCCTCATATTCCAACTGTGCATCATTATTACAAAAGTAGGTAAGTTTTCCCTTCTTAAATCCTAAAAGAATAGAAAGAGTCACATTAATTTTTTGACATGAAAACTGGGGTCCACAAGGTTAAATCAAATAGTTACTTAGGGTCTGATCAAGAAACACAATAAACCAATCAAGAAAATGATAATGAAAAAAACATCAAAATCTAATTTTCTATAAATATAACAAGTGAGAACTTAATCAATGTTTAAATAAACAAGGTATGTCTTAACTATAGAAAGAAGCAAAATGAGAAAGCTCTGCTCCGATGTTGATAAAAGTGTGCCCTCAGGAGAAGGGTTCTAAGATATTTTCCAAAGAAGCTATCACACAAGTACCATTATAACAGGGAAAATACCTGAACTTCAAGTCACACTTTGGATGTTTTCTCTCAATGCTTCTGAATTCAAAGCTATAACAAAAACTAAGCTTTTATACTTACAAAGTTAAATTTTGGAACTTCTCACTTATCTCTCATAATCTTTGGACTCTCTTTTAACACAATTACTGCCAAACATGTGGACTTTTTTTGGGGTGTACATCGGCTATCTTAGATTTCTGATTTTCCTTCTTTCTAGTAATACTCAGCATTGTGTCTTCTGAGCCATCATTGTAATCTTGCATTAGCTCAAATCCAGAGCTGAAAAACAGAAGTATTAGACACTTATTATGCACTTAATAAATACCAATTCCACATAAGGCTGTTAACTAATTTCTGTTAAACCACCATAGCCATAGTGTACACCTTGCACAATTTCTATTTTTAATACATAGCCTGCTCATTTTATGTGAGTCACTAGTTTTAAGAAACAGTTTATTGCAACAAGTATCTCTTGTCTATCTAGCAGGAGGAAGGCACTCCGATGGGTGATGTAGAATCACAATATGAACAGCAGATGGTCCTGTGCACTGGGACTCTTCCTGGGCACACCCACTTTGGCAGTTCCGCACCCTATATCCTACCATTCTGATCAGAGCGAGGAGCAGGAAGTTGATGCGGGGAGAGCCAGGGCTGGCCCAAAAGAAAAGATTAACTTTGTCTTGTAACCTTTCTGCCCTGTAGCTCCTGGTGTCACCTATCTCTGCTTTCCCAGGATATCAATCTATTCATATTATTGTATACTATTTTGTGATGCATTTACTTAATCTGTCCTCCTCTTTTTCAAACTGGAATCAGATTTCAAAATTGCCTTTTTTCATCCTTATAACCATGAATTCGCCCTTGCAATGATGAGTGTTAGAGATAGTGTGCTTGCCTGGATGTAGTGTAGCATAACCACTGGTATAAGAAAAAAATGGTGACTTTGTATTAATAAACAGCATGCTTAGCATTCCAATAATGTTTCTTATACAAAGTTGGTATATATATAAAATTATTGGAAGAGTAAGTTGAAATAGAGGCTTTCTTTGCCACTCCCACCCCCTCCACACAGCCATACACACATATAAACATGGAAAAACATGTATCTATGTATTCTGTCACTACTGTATCGGAATCCAAAACTTCAGCATTTATTCTCCAAGTTATATTAGGCAAACTAATTAAATGTCATGAGATTCAGTGTCCTCATCTCTAAAATGAAGTTGGATAATAAATCACTTCATTTGGTAGCATTATATTTCACAGAACTGAGCTAATACAGTGACTAGTAGAATACCTGGGGCATAGGAGACAATAAATACCATTATCCCCTGATTCAAGTAAAAACAACAATCTAATCCACTGAAACCATAACATTTTGAATCTACTTTGGTTATAAATATCTATCTGTATTTACTATTACAGAACACATAATAGTATTTATCTGTATTTACTCTATACTACAGTATATAATCTGTATTTACTATTACAGAACACAAACAGTATTTAACTGTATTTACTATATACTACAGTATATAATCTATATTAACTCTTATGTTTTACATCTGTAAAAAGTGTTGAAAACTTGTATATATATATATATATATATATATATATATATATATAATTGCAATTGGCAGATGATAAACTGTGTGCCTAATTTAAAAAAATCACAAGCTGAAGACTGGAAAGTGCTATAATCAAAGGTTAAATGACTTACTCAACATCACAGTATAATTAATAACAGAGTCAATACAGGCCTTTTTGACTAACATGCTCCCTTCCCATCCCGCGCTGGCAGCACCAGCAGCCGGGCCACCGCAGCTGTCTGCCTGCCGGTGCGCTTCCCTGGACGGACTCCAGGTGAAGGTGCCCCACCTTGTCCTGCTCGTGAGGTACACTCAGTTTCACTTCTGGCTGTCTTTCCGTTTTAAATGTCCTACAGAGGGGATTTTCTCTGGCTGTATATTTAAAAGATATGTTTTCTCAAGCATTGCCTGCAGTTTGGCCCTGTTTTGAAATCACATTTCAGTAAGATCCGCAGAGAGCCGGTGAAATTGAGAGCACTCACGGTCATCCAGCCGTAAGACAGTGATTAGTTTTAAAAGCAGTCATGTGACATAATTAATTCTCACCAGTGAGGTGTTAGACCAGATGAGTTCGTAGGGCTTCTCAGAAATCATGCTCTCTCTTAATAAATAACAGAAAGACGTGCTGTCTCTTTTCTCCTCTCTAGATATTATCAACCACATGTAACACTTGGATTTACAATAATCCATGAATCATCCACTGAGAATGGCAGAGGAGCAAGGTGGAAGGACTTAATGCGACTACAGACCTGATGAATAAGCGAAGTCTTGGAGCACCCTACCTCTCGACTTCATTAGGTGAAATATACCCTTATTGATCAAGGCACTTTTAGCGATGTTCTCAACAACTGCAGCATAAGGCCTGAGACTGACAAAGTCAGGATGAGCCTTCACTAGGATATTGTGATTCCTTGTCTTGGAGCCTTTAAAAATTTTTATAGTATCATGTATGTTATACTAGGAAACACACCTACTCATATGAATGTAGAAAACTGAGATTTTATTACTCCAAGGAAGACTTTTTTTTTTAACAATTTAGGGAAAAGGAGTACATTTCATTCTAAAACACAATTTTTTCTTAATCAAGCAGTCCTCCATTCTGCAGCCAAAATAATAACACATAAACTACATTTCTGCAACTTACTTAAAATTCTTGTAAGTCTCTCCAACCCTATTGCTTGTAGCAGTGTTTCTCACCCGTGGCTGAACATTTTAATAACTTGGGGAAATTTTAGAAATAACAGTGCCCAAGTTCCCTCCCCCAGAGATTCTGACATTTTAGGTCTGGGTGTGGCCTGGGCATCAAGATTTAAACGTGCAGCCATGGATGAAAACCTTTGCGCTAGAGACTAATTCAGTCGGTTTAGGAAGGGACCTGGAAGTTATATGCTTTTATCTTTTTAAGGGTCTCCAGGTGAGTACAAATTAGCCAATATTGAGAAATACTGGCGTATGAGACAAAGTATGAATGCCTTATGTGGTATACAATACATTTTATTATCTCTCTCTAAATATTTTCAAACTGCCTTTCACAACAAGGACTGCTCCCTCACTCTGTTCCAGTTAATCTACATCAATTATAATTTAATTCCATTTCATATAATAGAAAAACTCAAAACCAGTGGCTTAAAGAGAATGGAAATGTATCTTTTTCTCCTATAAAAAAAAAGTTTTAAAGTATACATTGACAGCTCTAAGGTGTTATCAGAGTCCCAGACAACCCTTTATTTGACACCTCATTGGCTAGAACTTCATCATATGGCCAACCCTAGTGCCAAGGGACACTGAACATATTGTTCTTATAAACAAAGTCAGTGTTCTGCAATAAATGGGAAATAGAGGATAAATATTAGTTGGCTACAAACTCTATATACGAAAATATATAAAATTTCCCTAATCATCATGCTTTTGTCCCTATGTGCCTTTATTCAACTCTCAAGCAACTACTTGCCTTTTAAATCCAAGTTCAACTATCAGATTAACTACAAGAACCTTTCTTCATGCGAAACTGACTCACTCTTTTATGCGTACTGATATCCTACCACCTAGGAAATTGTATTTGCACTTATATGTTTACATCATTCTCTCTTTTTACAGAACTATTTATTCCTTAAGCACAAAGGCAGTTTTAAGGTATGGATATTTCTAGCATCTAGAGATACTGTACAGAATAGTGACCAAAGCAAAAGCACAGACCCTGGCTCTACAACTTATTTTCTGTGTATAGAATTCAAAGAACTTATCTTATATCTCAGTACCTCTCTTTCCCTATCTATAATTTTACATTTATGTAAAATAAATAGTGCCTATTTGATAAAGTTATTATGATGGTGGAATGAATTAATAAGCATAAAGCACTTAGAATAGTCCCTGGCACATTGTAAGTGCTATCCAAGGAGCAGTGAAAATTGTGAATGCATTGCCTAGCACAAAATAATGCCACATTTATTGAATGAATGAATCATCCATGTGTATTGACTTGCAAGTTTTAAATTATGAAGAGATTTATTGAAAGGGACATAGATGCATGAGATATTATCTGTATAATACAGAAGCAGAGCATAGAGCTGGAATGAAAATGCTGGCATCTAATGTGATACTTTGTCTCAAGTGAGGTCTCAAGTCCATGGAACACATGATAGATGATACCAGTCAGGGGAAGTGAAGTTAACTGAGGGTAATTGACACTACTGAGGGGAAGCTTCATGAATAAGATTAGTTCAAGCTGGATGTTAAAGGCTGCACAAAGATGTCAGAAAAAGTCATAGAGGCATTCTAGAAATGACAATGTGGTCCTATTTTTGAGGCAGAGTAGCCTGACTGGAACAGAGCTTTCGATCTGAGATGTAGATTCAACAAAAATAGATTTAACAAGCATTTGTATTTGAACAAAGTTCCAGTCACAGTCCTGCTAGTTTTAAAGAAAAAGATAGGTAGAACAAGAAAGAGTACTTATAAAGGAGTTCTAAAGAAAACTACAAGAATATAGATTTAATGTAGGTTAGGAATTTCATGAGGAAGCTGGTGTGTAAGGAGATATGGTGTGTGACATGTGGGAGCATTTGATGAAAATACAGTCTAGAATAAAGGACAGCTAAAAGATAATACCTTTAATAAAATGTATTACAGCACATAGCATACCACCTACATTTATCCCAGAGCATTAGTTTCCGAATGGAGACCAGTTCTGGAAATACAGCTGGGCTAAAATATCTTTTCAAAGCACATTGTGATTTATTTGGGGAGAAAAAGATACCTACTTTAACAATATATTTACATTCAGACTTTTAATCGACATTCCATGACATTATTCACTGTCAAATTATGAAGCTGACAAACATCTCTTTCCCTATGCTGCTGAAATCTCTGAAGATTTATCTAGATTTAGAGACTAGTTTAAATTGAATGACTGTATGAGAGGAGTTCCTATTTGAGCTTCCTCAATATCAAAATAATTTTTGTTTAAACTCATGCTCCAATACTTTGTTTTAATAACTGTATCTATATAGAAGCACCTTCTTTTCTGGAGAGATATTCTTTGCAATTTCCCCAAAGTCCTTGAAGTGGTTAAAAATATTTCAGCAACAAGAGATTACACAGAGTGACACCAGTAAAATGGCTGAATAGGAAACTTAGACCCTTTTTCCACTCATGGAGACACTGATTCAATAAAACGTGCTCAATTCCCTTTCTGTGAATTCCATAAAACAGTTAGGAGACTCTTACATCCCAGGCAAGCGCAAAACCAGCCACATTAAAGCTAGTAGTGTTGCTGGGCAGCTGTATCTGGGGAGGCCTCTCTCTGTACACCAGACAGGGGAGGGAGGGTTCTTGACTCTGAATGAGAAAGAATTCTCAAGTAGGTGGGACAAGTAGAAGTAAGGAAGGAATTTGTTAAAGTGGAAGTAGCAGGGAATGGGAGCTGCTTTGCAGGCGACAAAGGATAGGAAAAATGCAGAGGGAAAGAGAAAAAGTTCACTGAACATTTGCTTAGTATAGAGCAGATTCCCTTGCCATCTCTTAAAGCCAGGGTCACTTGGTGTCCCATGTCTACTTGGAGCCACGCTGCATGGGGACTGGACCCCACCACCTCAGGATTTAGGGAGCCGTGAAGCACAGGATGGAGTGAGATTATGTTCTGAGAACCTCCCAAAGAGGGGAGGTTTTCAGGCAGCCTCCTGCAGCTGCAGTTCCGTCCAGGTCACCCTGGCAATGGGAACTTGCAGGCCCAAATCTGAGCTCTCAGCAGCCCCTCCTTACTTACCAGGGGTAAAATGGAGACTTGGAAATAGAATGAAATAGCAAAAAAGACAAAACGCAGTAAGTTGAGCAAGGAGAAACCTTTATTTAAAGGTACACAGTTAAAGAGAGAAAAAGTACAGGTGTCCTCAGAGAGATGGCCCACTGAAAAGCTGGGGTTTCTGTCTCTTAAGCATTTTTCAGAGGACCAGGGGGTATATAGATGTGTAGAGTGGTCTCAAAATGCTTGTCTACAGTGAGAGATACTAAGTCTCTTCTATTATCAGTCCTCCAGGTAATTCTGTAAAATTAACTTAACACAAGAAATTTACTGATCCAGTTCTTCTGGATAGCAGCTTCCGTCTGGGAACATATTAATCAAGATCACCTGCCCCGCCCCCAAGGTGAGCTGAGTTATTGTCTGTTTGCTAAAGAATATGTTAGAAATCTTACCTCCTAACTCACTGATTTTTAAAATGGAATCTTAGCTTTAAGATAGAATCTCTCCTATTCTTACTATACTATTTATATCTCAGCATTTTTCATCATAGGCAGGAAAAGTTAATGATGATACTTGTCCCAGATCCCTGCCCTATCTCAGTAGGAAAATTTGTGGCACCCTCTCACCACTGCCAACCCCCGCCTCAGTGCAGTGTCCATGATCAGGAGAAAACTCCCAGCTCTCAGCTTTCCCCCAGGAGGGAAAGAAAAGATTGGACCATACATCCAACATACTAACTTTTTGGTGCAGTTGTTTAAGGGCCTGGTTTCTGTCTTGTCTGTCTCAGAGTGCAGACAGGACCCAACACACTCTTAGATGCCTAATGGCCCCTGAGAAGAAAAAAGCCTGGGACAGCATGAGCTCCATAGGGCCCGTGGTATAAGGCACCCTGGCCAAGTCAGCTCAGTGGCCTTCCCTCAGGAGGGAAAAGTGGACGGTGTGTCCAACTGCCTGGCTTTTTAAAGGACTGTCTGAGGAACCCGTTTCTGTCTAACCCAACTTTCTCTAGTGACCCACATACTCTAGATGACTCAGGGCCTCTGAGAACAAAAACAGTAGTGTGGCATTTTGCTGCTTTGGGGGACCCGCGAAGCAGCAGACAGACACCAGAGGAAGCAAGAGATGATTAGCTCCTGTAAAAAATGGAAACTGGCAAAAATCCCTCTAATTGGGAATCTGTAAGTCTAAGGAAGCCATATCTGCAGAAAAGGTGTGGAAGGCCTTGTGTGTTGCTAGCTGGGCTTTCTGTGTCAGAAGTTCATAAAGGCTATGAAAAGTGCCTATTTTATGTGGATCCCAACACAAAATTACAAGGAACACAAAAAGTTCCACCACTCCCCTTTCCTTCTCTCTAAGCCAGATGACAACAGGAAGCTCAATAATGAGCAATGTAGGTTGCAGGACAGACCAGCCATCCCCCAGTGGAGACCAATGTGTTTCTAGAGGCTGTTAATAAGTCTAGGAGCCCTATCTGATTTCCGTTGCAGTAAGATTCTATAATACACGCCTGGAGGGAAAATGGAAGTTCTATGGCTAGGATCCTCACCTGATACCCACCATGTACCAGAGATGAGGCAATACTTAGCCTACTGCGCAGGCGTATGCATACATACCCATTGGCAGTCAGACAGTACTGCCGGTATTGCTATAAACAGTTCCCCCAGCTCTAAAAGCAGAGCCCAGAAAAGAGAGCAGACCTGGGGAGCAGACAGCAGAGGCAGTGTCTGGGGCAGAGACTGAGACAGGCTTGCCGCATGCAGAGGCGAACGTGATTCTAAGTGCTTGACCTGACACCGTGAGACTAAAGCTTGGTATGAGCCCCTTTTTACCCACAAGGTTCGTTGTCGTTATTCCTCACTGAATTCAGAGTGAACTTGCCCCGGGGGTTAAACCCTCAGGTGAGACAATACCCTGAGTGGAGGATCCAGGTGATCAGAGGCTTAATGTTTATACAATCCTGGAGGCACTCTTTAAAAAAAAAATTCAAAATTGTAAATCATTGCCAGATCCCCATGTAGATGAAGGTCCCAGAAACTTTCCTTCCCACTAAAGCCACTTCTGGAATTATTTCTACAATGTATACTCTGGAATGCTTAGAAATGATGATGCAGAGGTAGAAATTAGGAATACGGAGAATGGACTGGGATTAGCAAGAAGAAATGACCAAAAAAGAGAATTTACTTCTTTAGGCTAAATTTAACAGGCTTGACAGAATCTTACATTTTGTTTCATTTTCCTTGCTACTTTGTGCAGTAACAGTTTTAAAGATCAAATATTTTAGTAAGAACTACCATAAAAATCATTATTTTTCTTAACATTTTGTTAGGAATTATGACATTTTTTCACTCTCATTACTGTTCAGTGTGTTATGGCACTTTCATTAACTCAGTAAATATACTAGTGCTATATGTTGGGAATTCTTGGAGTACTAACATTGTCATTTACCAGAAGTTTGTCCATAGGTAACCAGTCACCATTTTAACTTGCTGTTCTGCATAATGAGGTAAAAGCTCAAGCCATCCTTACGGTGAATATAAAGATCAAAAGAGATACCATATAAAATAGCTCTTTATATGTAAGTGTTAAATCTCTATATAAATACATGTTTTATTACTAGCTTTTAGAACCACTCCCTGTTTGGTACAGCACAGAGGTTAACAAATATGATTAGAGTTGAACTGACAAAGGTTTTAAAACACAGTTCTATCACTCACCAGGTCTTAATCAAGTGTCTTCGTCTACGCAAGCATCAGCTTCTTCACTGAAAACGATAATAATAATGAGTTCATTCAGAAAGGTTATTGTGAGGAATCAAAAGTTAGAATGTATTAGATGCTTCAAACAATGATTGACATTGTAACATAATTAACGTTACTGATTATTATATTACTTAATCATATTACTAAGGGTATCTCTGAAAGCTGTATTTCATTAACCCTTGGGATTTTGTTGGTAGCTAACAATACTGAATCGTTTGGTAGATGATGAACTCCACAGCAGAAGGGATCAAGACATCCATTCTTAAATTCTGTCAGGGTGTAGTTCAGTGATGTGATTGTATGTTATGACAAATAGATATTTGTTAATTAATTAATACTATAGTGAATCAAAACTGTAAGTTTAAGGAATGATATCGTCTTATTTTTTGTTAGTATTTTTATTAGTACTATGAATAATGCACAACTGTGGGAACTTCAATCCTAGTCCACTTTGTTAACTTCTTTAAGGAGAAGCTTGTTTCACACTATTTGACATTTTCCACCCTTTACTTAAAGAAACTAAATTAAAGCTATTGGTTAATAGGGTAGCTAATTGGTCTGTGAATATGTATAGTAGAGAGAAAGCAGAATTTTTTTTTCAAATAAAACTTTGGGTATTTGGTGGTCCTAGTTTGAAAGATGAGATCAAGTTTCTTGATAGCAATTTTGGTATAAATACATAGTTTTTGGATAAACTCAAATAGTAACATTATTTTTTATTTCACTAAGTTCAAATTGTATTTCCATTCCTTCAGTTGGTCTTAGTTTTGTTAATTTGTATATACCCTTGAAAAATGGTATTTTAACTAATTAGTTATGCCTGGCCTTTTTTATTTTACTTTTTGGACCTTCAGTTATGGATTAGAATTAAAGCAATCAGCAAAATGAGGTTCGCAATCAAGAATAGAACCTCCTTCATGGCATATAATACTGCAATTTCAAATTTCTGAGTACTTTAAAAAATAAATAAATAAAAAGAACAATGGACAGATTTACGGGCTATTTTCCTCATTTTCGTCTTCATTCAAACCTTCTCTCTTATTATCCACGAAGAAGAACAGATACCTCCATTTAGCCTCCTTTGTTAAGTTTTTCTATTTTTTTATTTTTTCAGGTAAAGGTATGAGGGCTCCCTAGCTCCTGGGACAATTATTAAAATAGATTAATTTCATTTTTCCTTACTTCTTTGCCTTTGAGCTGGGAAAGGATGAACACAAACCTAAATAATACTCAAGTGATCCATGCCAATTTTGTCATTGCTGATACATTCTGCAGTAGCTGACACATAATTTAAAAATTATACCCTAAGTAGCATAAGTCATCATGGAGATTGTGGCAAGAAAAAGGACTGAAAGAAAATTTGTTATATAGAAATATTTATTGCAGAATATCAGAAAAGCAATATTACAACAGGTGATAGAACTTATTTCATATAGAATCAGGATGTTGAAGCTTATATAACCTCAGACACCCTAAGGGAAATTCATTTAATGAAATTATACCTGAATATGGATAAAAGGTATAAAAATACCAAAGGTGAGGAGGACTGTGGATTTCTATCCCACGCACAGACAAAAACAACTTCCAAGCCCTACCTGAAAAGTCAATTCTTTAATTATATTTGACTAAATCATTGATAAATTTAATTCTTCAGAACTACTAATAAATATATCGGTCTTGCTATTTTGCCAGGAGGGTATGGCCTTTTCCATTACTGGCCTAGAAAGCACTTTCTTCTTTGCCAACTCAATGGCTACCAGATTTTTAGGATGCCAAAGAAACTGCATATTTTGTAAAGTGTATTTTTCAAATGCCTGAAAATGTATTTGAATAATCTGGTCTGGAGGGATTTCTCCTTTGTCTGAATGTAATGGCATTTAAAGGCTAAAACACACAATTTAGCGTTTGGAATGTTTTCAGTGGTTCTTCAATGGTTTCAGGAAAATTAATCTTATCTTCCCGTAGAGAAAGTAGGTTTTTAAACAAGGATCATATATTTTAGTACTTTTAAATCAACCAGAGGTATATACAAGTATATGTATGCTCCACTGGTTGATACCTTTGAGGCAATTTGGATAACATTTAACACAATAAAAGAAACAATTTCCAAATATTGTTTTGGGGATTTGAGAGACCGTGCCTTCTCTAAAACCTTAGACTTGTGGTCTTAGCACTAGGTATCAAGCAATGCCAAATTTAAAGGTTTCTTTCTTTTCTTCCTCTTTTCCTCTTTCCCTGTTCTATTCTCTCCTTCCTTGCTTTTTTCCTTCTTCTTTACATCTTTTTTTCTTAAGACTTTGCTCTTTTGCAATATTTCACTTAATGATATGTGTAACAAGGAAATCTTCAAAACTAATGTGATTATGGAGAATTTTGATGGTAAATCACTAAAATACTGAGTCGTTCTTCAAGCAATTTTTACATTTTGTTATCAACATATCTTCATTGTTTTCCTTAGTCTAAGGAACATAATTCTTGGAAGAAAAACTGAAAAATGTAAAGTTATCTTATGACCTTATTCAAGGATATAACATGCTACTTTTCAGAATGTTTATTTTATTTCAGTTAATGAGTGTTATTGAACATCCTGACAGCAGGTCAAAAAAATAGTAGCCTAGATGAATGAACAAATAAGTCCAATAACATCTTTTAACATATTTTGGAACAAAGGATGGACTTCAATTAGTATGTGTGTTTCTGGCATTCTAAATTTGGAAGAGGGTAACAACTATATAATAGTGTAAAGATAAATTTCATAAAACAGAACTGAAGTTGAATTAAACCATCAAAATTATTTTATTTATAATTCAAAGAACTTAAACCAATAACCTTATTTGGGTAAACATTTAGGGAAGTTTTCTTATACTGTACATTATTGATATAAAGTGTATTAATGCAAAATTTCTTAACTGTATTTAAACTTTAACATACAAATTTGATCTTAATTTTTCTGTTGTTACTGATTTATCCAAGTTTAGTTATTATTTCACAATTAATTGAACTATGTTAACTTGCATGAAAGTATACATAAAATATTCAGAAATACACTTTCTTTATTTAATATTGCACACTTAAACTACCAAAATCAATGTATTTTGTTTAATGAGATAGTTTTCACTGTATTTAAATGAAATCTGAATTTTCTGTAACTGAAAAGATTTGACTGAAAAGGAGTTCAGTGTAGGTTAATGAAATACTCTTCCAAACAATTAAGGAAAATGTGCCTTTTTTTCATTTTGTCCACAAAAAAGCATGTTTAGTTTTTCATTTGCTAGCTGTTATATTTAATGGCATATGCTACAGGAAGTCTGACTAATGTAAAAGGAAGGGATTTTCACTGACATAGAATAAATATATAAGTAATACAAGCAGAAAAATGATATTTTAACTTAGCAGAGGGGTTCATAGTTTATAAAGTACATTTATAATGAGCGTTTTGACCTAAATAAGAATGGAAGGGAAAATAAAGTGAATAAAGGAGAAAATGAGGAAACAAGTACAGTGCATAGAATTGCCAGTCTTGGTAGCAGAATAATCTCCCCCTGCCACCAAACACAGACACATCCTAAACTGTGGAACCTGTGAGTATGTTAGGTTACATGGCAAAGCATCACGAAGGTTGCATAGAGAATTAAGGTTGCTAATCAGCAGGATTTAAGATAGGAAGATTTTCCTGGATTATCTGGCTAGGTCCAAACTAATCACAAGCGCCCTGGAATGTGGAAGAAAGAGGCAGAAGAAAAGGTCAGACTGATACAACATTAGAAGGACTCAACCATCTGTTGCAGGCTCTAAAGATAGAAGAAAGGGCCACAGCCATGAATGTAGGCTGCCTCTAGAGGCTAGAAAAGGTAAAACAATAGATTCCTATCAAAAATCTCCAGAAAGGAATGTAGTCCTACTGATACCTTGATTTTAGCTTAATAAGACACATGTTGAATTTCTGAACAATAGAAATTTAAAATACTAAATTTGTAGTGTTTTAGTCACTAAGTTTCTGGTAATTTGTTATAGCAGCAATAAAAAACTAATATTTCAGCATTCTACTTTCATTGACTATTATCACATTTATTCTCCTATGTTAACATTAGAATCTTGTGTCCAGTGAGAATTTTTTCAAATTATTTCCACTTACTGATTTTGTTTGTGAATTTAGTGTAAAGTGCAAATTTTATGTCATCGACCATTGGAATCTTTTAAATTTTAGTTTTTTTCTTTTCACTTAGGGCAACATATGCCTTTGCTTATAAAGTTTATTATTATTCAGTTGAATTTTCTTTTCATTTAGATACTATATATTTTGTATTATGTTTTATCTTTTACATTTTAGGTTTTTGTTGCTGTTATAAGTGATGTCTTCTATTGTACTTTACTTGATTAGAAGTGGTGTTATCATTTGTATGTTCATGTTAAAATCGATCATATTTCCAATTCTTTTCTTTTAAGTAATTTTTTAATTTGAGTATATTAGAGCTTCAAATTACAACAATATCCTTAAATAAGTTTTTCCTTCTTCCTTACATTGTGTTTCTTATTTCTTTCCATTTATCTCTTGCAGCATTTGTTGGTACCTCCTGAACAATGTTAAGTAACGTCCAAGATCATGGACATTCTTCTTTTTTCCTGACTTTTGTCATGCTATTTCTAGGATTTCGTCATTAAGTATGATGTTCAACATTCATATGATTACTTGTTTTAATTGTATGGTTACAACAAAGCAAATAGAGCTAAATTCAGTATGCAACTCTGCTTCGAATTTAGAAATGTAAACTGCAAAAGAGATTACAATTAGTCTAATAAATATATTTCCTGCCTATGTAGAAGTACATTCCTAATCTACCATTGCACTCTGTGAATAACACAGAGGTGGGGTCACATACTGTTACAGACTATGGTGTCTATTGATATCCCTGGTAGGTAAAAGTGAATGCAGCAGATATACAAACCCCGAGTTTCTCAACTTAGGGGGTAAAATAAAAATATGGAGTATTAAAGAAGAGAG